AATCAGACAAGAAACATCCTAGAAAATCTGAACAGAACCTCAGACGGGAGCCTCATGGAAAGTAAGCAACGGCACTGTGCGTCCTCCTCAAAGACGCGTGTGTGATTTTAGGTCCCTGACTGCTCAGAGAAGACGTTCTCTGAATGCGGCATCTCCAAACACCATCGCTTGGCTTGAACCCACTCACCACTTTTTTATTCTGATAGATAATATTTTACTAAAGCCACTTGCCATTAAAAAAAGTTGCAGGTACAGTGGGCTTTTTTTTTGAAATTAAAGAGTAAAAATCTATTACCTGCATAAAATCTGAAATGCGAATATTCAGGCTTTTTATCACTTAAAAAAGCAAAATTTAATATAACTCCAAACAAAAGCCAAATCAGAATTGGCCAAGAACACTGTACACTATATTTTTACAGCATGTTTCTGTGTACAAGAATGACTATAAAATTAAATGGTCTTATTTCTAGTAATTCTCTCCCATAAACAATAACAAGTCACTTGCTAAAAGGGATGCTTGCGGACTTACCAGAAATAATTTTTGGGAATATTCTAGTCTTCAAAACAAACGGTAGCTGTCAAATTCCTACTGAATAATCTAAAATGTTAATCCATGTACTGTATTTCATTTGTATTAAGTCTTTGTGATAAGGTTAACACTTCAACATACAACACAAACAAGAGAGCACCGAAAAATGAAAATTACTTTGCTTATGCTTCTATATTAGAATTTTATTTGCTAAAGGGTAAAAACAGATTTGCAAAATTCACAGTTAACTTAAAACAATAGTTTTAAACCTTTTATTCCTAGCCCATACTGCCTTCAGGAAGGAGAAAACATCTGGTTATTTAAGGAACACAATATGTTCACATTTTCTATGACTTTTGTTTCTAATTGGGTTTTAAAATTTTTTTTTTGAATTTGAACAACTAGTTAGAACCATGTTTTTTAATCACTTCATATTTTTCAGACTGTCCTCCCTCTATCCCTCTGCTCCATTTAACAGATTGTTTTTGGAAATCTGCTCAGTGATTCTAATACGATGAAAGATAAAAAAACAAGAATCAGGACTGTGGTCTGAAGAGCTAAGCACAGAAACCGTATCATAAGGTGAACGGGACACAGGATGCTAGTCATCTGACGTCGGTTTCTTCATATAGCATGTATTTAACATTTCAAGTTGTTCCTGGGTCACTTAAGTACATGGCAGTTCGATTTATTACAGGTGCAAATGTTTGCTCCAAAAGAAAAAAAAAAGAATTTGTATGAGAAATATCAGTAACTAGGATTCCATTATTTTTAAAACTGATGAAGCTACAGCCCTTGTCAAGTGGAAAGCTGGCTGGAAGACCTGGGTTCAGCTGCTAGCTCAGCCACCGACGAGCTATGTGACCTTGAGTGTGTCTCCTGACTTCACTCTGACCTTCAGTTTGTTCATATACAGAAGGAGAAGCTGAATTAGACTCTCCAGGTTCTTTGTAGTTCTGGAATTCTGGCCATCTAAGTGAAGACACTGACTAGATTCTTTATTGTGTCTTCTCTGTTCCATAATATCTGACAGTGGTAACAGGTTTTCAAGTAATTCTGATAGATAGCAAGTTAAGGAACTAGATGCCCTTTTAGTTCAATTTGTGGGGTTAATTCACCATCTTGATAAAAATGGCAGCTGACAAATAGACCACTGGCGATGGTTTCTATGGAACGTGGGTATGGGTTCTAGAAATCCGTGAGGTGAGTGAGGTCCACCTAGCTCAGAGTCAGGACCGGAAGAAGCTTAGCATTTGAATCAGAATTCAATTCTACTGTTTTCTCAACACCAATCACTGCGGGATACAAAGCTAAATGCTAAAAGGTGAGCAGGGTCATGAGAAGGAATAACTCATAAAAGATAAAAACATACAGCAAAAATACAAGGTGCGGTGAGGACTCAGGGAAGCTGTGCGTGTCTGGGGAGCCTGGGAGTGGCTTCCTGAAGAAGGTGGAACAGACGCTGGCAACCACAGGAGAGGTGAGTAGAAATGAGGGTCAGGGAACCACTCCAGCTATTTTGGAAGCATGGAGATTTTCGGCCTTGGGAAAGCCACGTAACCCTACCCTCTGCACTGAAAAGGCAGGAGGAGAGAGAAGCCATGCGTCTGTCGCACAGCTTGCTGTGGGGACCAGACTAAGCATGTCAGAGCCCTGGGAAATGGTGAAGGCGTGTGATCTGTGCTTACAGATTACAGGCCCACGACTCGGTCAGTTCCAATGAGGGATGTGCTCACAGTGAAGCTGACACCTGAGATAAAGCAACTAACAGCTCAGCGTCTCCAGTGCTGCTCAGTGTGTCCTCATCTGAGCACCCTCTGCCGGTGCCGGGTTTGGGGGGGCGGCGGGACCCCGCGCTTCTCTGAAGGCTGACAATGACCTTCCGGAGGCTCAGAGCCCCCCGTCTATTTTCATGTGACTGAGTCTGTCAGCAGCGCTCAACACAACAGCCACGCGAGGCTGGGCCACACGGGAGAGTGCACCTTCCTGCCTCAGATCTCATCTACTCGTGTGCTTCATAGAGACCTGTGTGTTTCTAGACTCACCCCGATTTCGATGTTTCACCATTGCCAGTACACAGAAAACACTGAGCACACTGTAGTGTCTGGATTTTCAGAAAATGTGGGTGGGGTACCAGCTCCACCTTCCCCTCTCTTCTCTCCCCTCGGTGTACATGGCCCCCTGTAGGACTTTATCTACACTGAAAGCTCTGTCCACTTGCGGATTTTCACTTTTTCGTATGTACCTTTGTAGCACTGGATTGGATCTTATTAGACCATTAGAAAGTCTGTTCTTTGCGAGCAAACGTTGCTCTGGTTGGGCAGGTTATTAGAGACAGTTTAATTCAACCACCAAAGAAAAGAGCAAGACTTGGGAAGCATGAATTTCCCTAAATCACCAGGATGTTTGGTAGGAGAGTCAAGATGTGACCCGATGTCCCGATTCCTCACTCTGGCTCCTTGCAAGACACAGTGATAAACCTACGGTTAGCACACGTGCCGAGTGACATTTACTACATGATGTCACTGGATCAGCCATCACATACGTCTGGCTAAGACTATCCCCTCGCGGGGTCACCCACCTGAAACCCCCTAGCACTCTATAGCTTTCTGTCATTTTCCTGACAGACGTCTTCACTGCATGCACTTGTTCTCAGGAGCTTCTTAAACATGACTCCCTCCTTCCACCCAATTTCTTCTGTCTCAGCAGTATCAGTTTAAGGCTGTACCTTTTGGACAGAATCTCTATTATGTTTTTACTTGGTAAGACCCTGAACGTAAATGTGGGTACACTGTTCTTTTAGATATTTGTGCTACTGTGTTTTTCTTTCAAACTTTAGAGAATATATATTTTTAATGCCTGTAGAATTGGCTTCCTTATACTCTGTATTATATATACGATCTTCCTGAGATTAAAAGCACTGGATTAAAATCACAGATTCCACTAAGAACACTGACGGATTTAGTACACAGAATTCTGCAACAGTGAGACAGATGATTCATAGGTAGATCAACCCTGTTTAGCCAGGGAAAAGCTACCAGCATCGATAAGATTAAAATAAAATACTCTTTCCTCCTTTCAATTAAACCAAACAAATCGCACAAGCAGAGAATTAAAATAGTTATTTCAGCAATTTCCCCCCACTCTAATTACTCTAATTAATTCCTAATGCTGAGATGACAGAATTTACCATAAGTTTGTAGACCAAAACTCAGATACCTCACTGACCAGCAACTTCATTCTTTATTCCTTTTATAGATATGTCATTATCTTGGTCATTTCATGTTAAAAATAGATACTTATACACCCTAAATATACATTAAAAAATGGGACTTTAGATTTGTCATAGTCTGACTCCTAAGCCTTACCAGAAAAAAAGTGCTACCTTACGTATCAGAGAAATGATGGATTATATTTCTGATACTTAATGAAATTTTGTGTAGGAGCAATGACATTAAAATGGTGTATTTCTGCAGAAAATGGATATAGGCTCAAGGAAAAAAAAGTATTTTAAATCAAGCAAAGAATAAATATAAGGTTACTGAAGTCAAACGCTGAAGTCAACAATCGAGGAAAGGACAGAAATCTTTTAGAATCAAAATGCACGTTGAATTTGGAGGTCCAAGTTGATCAGACAGACTTTGGCAGTGGAATCCACAGACAGACTGACTCAAAGGCAGTTCAACAACTGCCAACACGCCTGCTGGGAGTTCTGCCAAAGAGCCAAAGGCTGGGATTACCACTCGAGGCCTGGCATTCTCCTATTCGTGTTTGAAGCTTTCTCCCTTATACTTCATCCAATATTTTTGTTTGGCTCAAAAGCATCGAAGATTCACAGATTTTTTTAGATCATTAAATGTTCTTATTTTCAAGAAATATAACATTAGTTGTAAAAGAGCACACTTTTCCTCTGGAGTGTAAAGAAAATTTTGGTGACTTTAAGTTCAAGTAGAGAAATCAGCATTAAAGTCTGCTTAAATCTTTATTAGGTTAACTCTTCACCCACAAAATGAGAAATATGTGATATATCTCAATTACTAAATAACTGAAATATTTAGTATTTCATTGTATCATAAGCTTTTAGAAAACTGGTCCTTTTTATAGCTCTCATGTCTTGGTCTTCACGTGGCCCCTGAGGCTCCACCTGGATTGCCTCTGTGAGGGGTACCAGTGATCACGCAGTGTGGGTCCAGGGAGCAGCAGTCATGAGGAAGACAGTAGGGCAGAACGACCCTCTGAGGGACAAGAGATGCGCACCCCAGTTTCTCACGTCCACTTCATTTGCCTGCTGACTGGCTGATCTGCCCATGAGGCATGTAAGTTTTGGCCTGCAGCTCTAGGCAAATTCTTTCACTAGGCAATTCATCTGCCACTAGACAAGTTCTACATTAGGAATTCTTGGAGTCGTATAGAGAAACCAATTTTTCACCCAACTTAAAACTGTGCACATCAGCCCACTTGCAAAGCTTACCTTTGGGTCTCGAAGGAACAGAGCTTTAAGAATCAGTGAGTGGACATCTCCAATTAGTGGGTAGTGCATCAGAAGGCCGAGACAGGTCTGGTAGTTACTTGAGATCACTGAATCAGGGGGGAAAAGCATAATTGAGAAACAACACTGTTTAAGATCTCTGCATTACTAAGAGAAACAAAGTAACAACTTAGATTCAAAGAAAGCAAACCAGTAACTCAACTGATTAGATAAAAGGAAATGAGGGGAAAGGATCGTTATCAAATGGTCTTTGAAGCAGCGCACTGCACTGTTAACTGCAATCTAACGCACTAGCACTGGTCCTCAGGGGCTGCTGGAAGGAAGTGCCTTGTACAGAGATATGTGTGTGTGTGTTTGCAATATAAATAAACTCTTAGAAGCATGCATATTTATTGCCATTTATATGGCTGTATTTAAATGTCTCTGGTTTTGCTGCCTGGAAATTAGTAACAAAAATCTTATGAATGGGGAAGAACCAGCTTAAAATTCTTGAAAAATAATATTTACCCTGGTTATTACGCTTCACAACTTACATGTTACATTTATTTTTTGGTATATGCAAACATTTCCTAACTCAAAATTACAGAGAATATAATTTCTTCCAATTATTTTTTTTCTTAAAGGTAACCAGAAATTCAGGGAGAATATTTATGCAGCATTTCTGGGAGGAAAAGTGTCAACCTCTTTATAGATAAGCCGAACTGTGCTCCTTAGACTGTCACTTAATTCCCCCCCCCCCAATCAACCTAATTATGGCCGCGATTATTAAACACATCTTTCCAGGCAGGGCTGTGTGAACTACTTCATTTCTTGGCAATCCGTCTGCCACTGCTGTCACAGTCCCGCCCATCAGCGTCGCCGGTTTGTAAGCCAGGCTGACTGCCTGGGCGGTGGCACAACTGGGAAGAAACTTTACAGTTACAACTTTCTGCTGTTGCGACTGAATCCTTTTCATTAATTCCCACAGTTAGTTGAAAGATGTTCCACAGGAAAACAAGTGGGGTCCACCAGAAACAACACAAATCATAAAATAAACAACTGTCTGTGATCAAAAAATACCCTGTTCTTCGACTTTTCTTCTGCTGCTGCTGGAAACATCACTCTTGCTCCAGCTTCCCCGCCCGCCCGCCCCTCCCCTGTACATTACAGAGAAGGAGACAGGACCGGGCAAAATGAATAATTATAATCTATGTGAGGAAACACTTTATCATCTTCATTTCCGTCGCTGATCTGACAGCTTGTAATTTCATACATCTGCTCTCACTTGTAAAGTACTCACTTACCTTACCCTTTTTTTAATCTGTTCACACTCTTCTTTTCTTATTTGTTCATTTTATCATATTCACATTCAGTTACCTGTTGCCTTTTTCTCTCTAGAACTCAAACACCTAGGCTACTGCAAAGAGTGTAACATTTCATGTACAGTTTTCTTGGCAATCTAACAAGTTAATAAAACTTAGATAATCAATTCCTTTTCTAACTCATAAACTGATTTTCCCATGATAATGATTATACATTAGCAACTGACCCAGGAAGAATTCTTGTCTATTTTGTAAGAGAGGCAGGACAGCGGTCTGGCAACGGTTCCGGGTTCAGGACTCAAAGGTGTGGACTCTGATCCTGGGACACCCCTGGAAGCCTTTCATAAAGTGGTCTGAAGACTAAATGATATAATCTAAGTGACTGATTTACAACAGCTATTCAAAACCAGTTGGGGGTAACCTCTCTGAGGTTAAGTGTAGTCATTTGGGAAAGAACATTCTGAATAAAAAAAAATGTATCTGCCTACGTCACTCATGCCAATAATTATTTGTTGAGTACCTAACCCACGACAGGCCCTGTGTTAGGAGGGGAGAACACGGTTCTTATCCTGCAGGAAATTAAAGTACAGAAGGGTGGGTGTGTGATGACAAGCAGTTGTAACCATCACTCTAAGAGGACAGTGCACGGTGGAAGGCTTTCTGGGACCAGGCCCTGTACCAAGACCTCCACCTGCATCACCTCATTTAATTTCTATGATCTTCTTTTTATAAGGGTACAGTTATCATCCCTGCTTCACAGATGAGAAAACTGATCGTTGGCAAGGTTAAGACACTTGCCCAGAGCACACGGTGACTGAGGGGTGGACCAAGCTTTGAAGTGTGCGAGTCAGGCAGCAGCGGCAGGGCTCTAACACATGGTTTTGTTTTAAAAGGCCATTGTTTTGAAAACCAGAGGACATAATGGGTGCAGATAATCCCTGCAAACAGCAAAGTCAGTTAATCTTTGTATTCCTGTGTAGCAGCTGTGAGTAGCCTGGAAGATCAGCACAGCACAGTTTGCAGAACAGCCTGATGTGGAAGGTATTTACTTGGAGGGACCAGAGCAACAATCCTATGTTATTACAGCTCGATGACACATTTGAACCCAAGGGAAGCTGTTAAGTACACTTACAAATACAAATAATATGCAGTTTACAAAATAAGAGAAGCTAAATCACAGATTAATATTCTACTTGTACAACAAATGAAGGAGCTAACATTCTTCCTCTCATTTCTCCCATCTGTCCGTCCGTCCGTCCAGTCACTGAATGTAATGACCGTTTCCTGAGCATCTGCGGGATCCTGTGCTGGGCAGCAGCCCTAGGGCTATCACGGCGCGCAAGCCTGAGCTCCAAAGGGAGGAGCAGGGCGCCCTGATATGTGGCTGTAGGAGTTTGGGTCGCGCCACCCCCAGATGTGCCACTTTGGTACAGTGATGACTGGGAGCTGTGGGAGCCTGAAATCAGCAAACGCAGGGAGAGGCTTTCTCTGAACTCCCCTTCTCTGTGCCTCCCTGAAGATAAATGCTGCAGAAGGAACTCAACTGTCCTAAGTCCCTCCAGACAAACTCTGGCACAAACTATCACACCTCTTCTTCTCAGGGCCCATTCATCTTTCCTGAGAATCACTGACTCTTCTCTCAGAGGCCTGCACCCCCTCCCTGAAATCTCCACTTATCTCTTCGAGGGCTGCTCATTTCCCCCGGGTATCTCCACGTGTACATGAGGTATGCGTGTTAGTAAACTTGCCTGTTCACCTCTTGCTAATCTTTTTGTTAAAGAATCCCAGCTGAAAACCTAGCTGGGGGGAGGTCAAGTTCTCCTCCCACGTTGCACCTGTCTTCAGATAACGCCGTCTCTAACTTAGTAGTGAGCCCCTGTACTTGTCCTACCAGAGCTGTTGTAGTTTGCAATCACATATGCCAAGTATGAAGTCCCTTTTGAACAACTGCGTCCAACTGAGTGAACCAAAAGAGAATAATACAAGCTATTTTAAAAACAATGCAGTTGGAGTCTGATAGAATAGGAATTTCGTTTTAAACTTTACAGTAAATTTTTGTTGAATTTGAAAAACTCATCCACAATATTGTTCCTTCTCCAGGATTTATTTTATCAGAGCAGGGCAGGGACACAAGGGAAAAAGTGAAGGACTGAAAAAAGACTGTGTTTTGCCATTTGCCTACATTGAAACTGGGTTTGTATAGGCTTTAAAAACAAAAGACTGAAGCCACACTCGGAAGAGCTTGTTCGGGAAGGTTGAGACAAAGGTGAGCGGTGTCCGGGAAAACCTAGTGAATCTGAAATCAGACGATCTAGACTAGAATCTAGATTAGACCTACATCAGAATGCTGGCTAGTCATTTGTTACGTGTGTGAATTCAGGCAAGCTGCTTCATGAAATCTTTATTTCTCTCATTTATAAATGGAGCTGACTGTTCTGGCAGGGGCTCTGTAGGAATGGCCCGCGTACATGGTCGTGTGTTTCCCCACTCGCCTCAACTCTGGCTGAACAGCACTCTCTCCACGTGAAGCAGAGATGACCCCCCGTCTCTGCCTTTAGATGGCCCACACTGTTCTGCAGTGGTCTAAGGGAGTTGGTTTAAACAGTTTCTTCAGCAGCAACAAACCAACAAAATAATGAAATCAGTAAAGATAATCAGAGGCGTGATTGTTTGAGGAAGTTCAAAGCAACGCACGTCATTAACTTATGAGTAAGTCAACGTTAACTACACCTGCAACTGTAACATTTCTAAGTGAAACACTCTTCAAATTGTTTAACTTCGTATTTAGGTACTTCTCAAGGTAAAAAAACAGACTAAGAACAACTAAGAACAACTGAAATTCAAAAAAAAATTATTAAGCACGTATAACGTGCCTGGCAGCTTGCCATATATAATACCCAAAACACCCCACGCGTCCCGCTAACGCCCCGAAGGGAAGTGCTACCATCACCCCTGCGTGATGGATGAGGAAGTGCAGGTGGATAAACACCTCTAGACTTCCCCGTGTCCCTGGCAGAGACGGTCACAACAGGGGCATCTGAGTACAGAAGTCAAGTTCTGACAGAGCACGCATGGCCTCCGTTTCTTATCTTGTTCATTTGTGTCCTCTTTCTTTTCTTCTTGGTGAGCCTGGCAGAGGTTCGTGAATTTGGTTTACTCTTTCAAAAAATCGGCTCCTGGTTTGATTGATTTTCTATTTTTAAATTTGTTTTATTTATTTCATCCCCGATATTGACTATTTCTTTTCTTCTGCTGACTTCAGGCTTTGTTTGTTTCCCTTTTTCTAATTCTTCCAGGGGGTAGGTTAGGCTGTTTATTTGAGATTGTTCCTGTGTTTCTAGTAAGGCCTGTATTGCTATGAACTTCCCTCTGAGGACTGCTTTTGCTGCATCCCATACATTCTGTGTGGCTGTATTTTTATTGTCATTTTTCTCAAGGTGTTTTTTAATTTCCTCTTTGATTTCATTGTTGATTTATTGGTTTTTTAGTAGCATGTTGCTTCATCTCCAGGCGGTCATTTTTTTCTCATTTTTCTTTCTGTGGTCGATTTCTAGTTTCATGCCATGGTAGTCAAAAAAAGATGCTTGAAATAATTTCTCTCCTCTTAAACTTGTTCAGGCTTGTTTTGCATCTGAGTACATGGTCTAGCAGATGGCCTCTGAACTCCAACTCTGTTGTGAGCCACAGAGAAGCCTCCCAGACACAATGAAAAGAACCCTCAGGGTAGAAGGCCAGGTGTAGTAAATATTCAGACATAAATTTAGGCACATTTTCTTGTGTTTAGCTAT